GGCCTTCTTTACCTGGGCGATGGTGTTGTGGGTCCAGGTGAGACCAGTGGAGATGTGGGTGTCCAGAAACCTGAAGGTGGAGACAGATGCCATCCCTTCTCCCTTTATATTGAGAGGGGAGTGGAGCTGTCGGTGCTTCCTGAAGTCCAATATGAGTTCTTTGGTTTGAAGGACTTTCAGACTTTTACTTCTATTGGACAGATTATCCAATAGAAGCAACTGCACCCCAACTAGAGATTAATTAGATACAAAACAAATTCTATGGCAAGGGGGAGCCAGGACATCAGGTCAGGGGGAAGAAATCATGATCCCCATCCTCCAAGACTGTGAGAACATCTGACTCAAAAGAGAGGATCATTGCAAGGCCTGGACCCTCTGTGGTCGATCACTAAGACTATGTAACATGCCCTCTGAAGGTCTTCTAGGCTTCCTGTCGTGTTTGGGTCAAATCTGACTGATTTACAACGTAAAACACTGATAAATATTGTTTTTTACATCTGCCTCGAGGCCTTTTGACATCCTCCACACCATGCACTTGAACATATAACAGTGATGGTCACCTCTTTCACTGAATTTTGATTGTTTTGATCAACCTTGTTACATTTGTGATGTTCCTGGTCAAAAGTACCTGCCATAGGAAATGAATGGGAATCCACTCAACCCCTCCCCCACTGACTGAGCGACCCCCTGAATGGTATTTATGGTAATGTCATCTTCTCCTTAGCACTGCCCCTGAACCCACTCTGCCACCCTGCCACAACCACACCCTGCTGCCACAGTGTCATACTAAGCTGGAGCCAGAAGAGCACAGACCAGTAGAGAAACAGGATATATCTCACAGACTCCGGAGCTTTGTTTCTTGGTTTTTCAGTTGGTTTCTCTAGCTTGTCGTCAGCAGTGTTGGTCAAGTTACTTGAAAAAAGTAATCAGTAACTAATTACTGATTACTTCCCCCCAAAAAGTAATCCCGTTACTTTACTGATTACCTATTTTCAAAAGTAATTAATTACTTAGTTACTTTTTAAAAACACGATTTACAACCTGAATAGGTGATAAAGTGATAGATCTTTCAGCCCAATTCTACTTTTTCTGCATAATCA